TTTATCATTTATCGGAAATCAAAGACGATTTTCAATATGTATCTTTTATTTCTATGTTCGTCGGGTCTTCCTGATAGGTCAAAGGAATTGAGTTTCCCCACAAACTCTGATATTTTAATACCTTTATCATTGCAACCCAATGATATAGACCTTAGATATTTCAAACTATTAACTCTGTTATTCAAGTAATCTTAGTTTGAAATATCTAAGGCTTACACCACCAGGTTGCAAAGATAAAGGGACTGGAATATTCAAGTTTGTGGCAAAGACTCAACTCCTTATCGTTGAATATTATGAAAAAATATCGGATTGAATATCTACAGTGTAAAGATAAAATTGTTGCTAGAAAAGAGGGTCTTAATTGTTATTTTTTTATACCTGGATTTGTTCCAATCTCGCTTTACTTTCTCTAACGTCTCTAAATAAAAATATATTTTACATCTTTCAATTGTATCGTTATATATTAAAAACAACTAAAGTGTAAAACTCGAATTTTCTAATATTTGTATCTTTGAAACCTGAAGATGTAAACAATTGATATTCTAGACTTGGTCTATTTGATTAAACGTTTTCACAGCTTAAAATATCCATGGTTTATAACATCTGCTTGTAAAGTTTGTGGCGAGTAGTCAATATCAAAACCTCTCTGAAAATTAATGATAAGAGATTTACAGAAAACTATTTTCTAAATGCTCATGTTTTTTTTTATTATTTATTACCAATCAAGCTTTCTGCAGAAGACCGTTTCCCCCAGGTTCCTCTAGAAAATATTCTTTTTATTCATAAATGTCAACAACTAGCCTTTAAATATCTAAGTCATTTGTTTGTTGTTTAACCTGTGCTTATTCCAATCTCTTTTAACTAACTCTGAAGGTTCTGAAAATAAACACATCAAATTTTATTGAAAAAAGTGTAAATAAACTAATCTATCCAACTTTTTCATCTTTAAGTGACTTTTGTTGTAATATATCATAATTCATAATTCACAACGGTACCTTTATACCCTTAAAGGGAGTGTTCGCGAAAAATGAAAGAGGGTATAGGCTTAATGCGATAAAAAAGCGCTTTTGATCGCTACTAATCTTACTTCTATCTGTTGC